CTTCCTTTCTCCTTTCCCTTTTTCTCTCTTCCCTCTTTCTCCTTTTCCTCTCTTCTCCCTTCCTCCTTTCCCTTTTCCTTCCTCCCTTCTCTTCTCTGCTCCCCTCTCCCTTCTTTCCCATTCTCCTTTCCCTTCTCCTTTCTTCCCTCCCTTCTCTGTTACCATTTCCCTACTTTCCATTTTCCTCTTTTCCCCTTTCTCCCTTCCCCTTTCCTTTTTCCTTTCCCTTCTCTTTTCCCCCTTCCTTTCTCCTTTCCCTTTTCCTTTCTCCTTTCCCTCTCTTCCCCCTTTCTCCTTTCCCATTTCCTTCCTCCCTTCTCTTCTCTGCTCCCCTCTCCCTTCTTTCCCATTTTCTCCTTCCTCATTCTCCTTTCCCTTCTTTCTCCCCTCCCTTCTCTGCTCCTCTTTCCCCGTCCCCGCAGATGCTGAACCTGTTCGTGGCAGTGATCATGGACAATTTCGAGTACCTGACCCGGGACTCCTCCATCCTCGGCCCGCACCACCTGGACGAGTTCGTGCGGGTGTGGGCGGAGTACGACCCGGCAGCCTGGTACGTGCGGGACAGAGGGACAGCAGGACAGGGACAGAGGGACAGCGGGGTTGGACAGAGGGACACCAGGATAGGGACAGAGGGACAAGACAGCAGGATAGGGACAGAAGGACACGGGGGTAGGGACAGAGGGGACACTGGGGTGGGACAGAGGGACAGCAGGGGACAGATGGACACCAGGATAGGGACAGAGGGACACTGCAGCTGTAATGCTGCACCTGAGCACGCCCAGAGCCCGTTTAACAGCCCCAGGATTTGGGTACCACCGCTTTTAAATGCTGCGATTCTCTGAGACCTGGAGAGGAACAGAGCTGGTGTCACTGCAAGGGCGTTTCCTTCCCGCACAGCCAAGCCCTGCAAGCAAAGCACAGCCAAAAATGAACAGATTAAAGCCTCAGTTCCACCGAGCCCGCCTAAATGGCCCTGGAGAAAAGCGAGTTAGCACTTCCAAAAGGAGCTTTTGGTTCCTGCATCCCATCCGGAGATGCAAATCCGCAAATCTCTGGCTGTTGGCAGCACTTGAGGGAGTGGGAGAGGTTCACACCTCATTTGTGCAGCGTTGTTTTAATTGAGATCCACCTTGGTGGTTTCCCAAATGCTGTGCAGACACCTCAGGCTGCATCTGAGTCAGGTCCTGCAGGCTCTGCTCCATCCTCCCACCCGCTCCCACAGGGAATGATGTGATGCTCCTCTGCCTTAGGGTGGTTTCCTGAATAAATGGGATTTTTTCAAACAGCCTTTCCTCATTAAACACAACATTTTCCTCCTGGAAGCCTCCTTGTAGTGACATCAAACTCTACGTGGGAATTTTGGCCTTTTCAGTAATATTTAGCTCTGGAGTTGCAGTTGAGGTTGTAAGATGTGCAAAATGATCAGGTTAAAAGGAAATGGGCCAAAGTTTGGAAGTGTTTAATTCTTATAATTATTTCTCTGTTAAAATATTCCTGATTTATGAGTGGGTTAAAGGAGGGGATGGTTTTCTCACACTGGACAATGTTTATTTTTAAATTTTATTTTTTTCCAAGACACAGGGGACCTTCACACTGGGCTTAGGCAGTGGAGCAGCAGCACAGAACCCAAATTAAGGATTTTTTCTTAAATTGAGGGAATGGCCCTGCCCAATGACCACTTCTAGAGCAGGACTGATTTAATAAATTGCTTTTCTGTACTGCTGCACCACTGCCCTGGTGATGGGGTTATTCCATTTCTGGATGCTCTGTCGCAGGTCCCGATAATTCCTTGATATTCTATTTGGGAATTTGCCTGTTGGGAGACTCCTTGTTAATTTAAAACTCTGCTAATTTTGGATCCCTTTTTTCCTCCCTGTGAGTTCCTGTGCCATGAATCTCCTCTGGATTTGTGATGCCTCCAGCTCTTCCAGTCTTTCCTTTCTCTTTTGTTTCCCTTCAGCAGAGACAGAGGCAGGGAGTATTTGGATAATCAACATCTCAAACTCCCTGCTAGGATGCAATTAAACTATTTTCAAATCTCATTTCAAATGATTTGATTTAGCCTAACTTTAAATGGAAACTTGTTCCAAAAACCTGCATTTCTCTGAACTGTGAGGGATTTGAACTGCTCCAAGCCACCCCTACTACCAATCTGAATATTTACTCCGCACTTACTACCAGCTTGTAATCTCCAGGCAGATTTTCATCCCCATGAGGTCTGTGACACAGCAAATCCTTTGTGGGGATTTAGCAGGCACAAATAGCTTTTCTTTTTCCAATCCAATCCTCACTGAAAAAAATCTCAATGAAGCTGAAAACTCGGGAGTGCTCCTTAGAAAAACAGCCTTGGCTTTACATCCGTGGGAGGAGGAACACACCTGCAAGGGGGAAAATGGGATCAATGTGGATTTTTAATGTTTATATTCAGGAACTTTCCACCCAGAAGAGGCACCAGCAGTGAGTTTACAGGAAGATTTCTCGCTCTATTAACTCTGAGTCACTCAGGGGCCAAACTTTCCACTCACAGAGCTGGTAATGCAGAAAATGTCACATACTAAGATGCTAATTCTGGTTTTTTTTTTTTTTTTTTTTTTCTAACCCTGTTTCCTTTTCACTCTGGTGGGAAGTTATTGAGTGTGAACAGTTCCACTGAAATCACATTTTCAGAATTGGGACTAAAATCTCCACAAATCTGCAATCCTTTCACACTTTAAGGCAGAAGTGAGCTTTCAATAATTTTGATTTAAGACCTTTCTGATCTTAGAGGTCTTTTTCAACTCAACTGATTTTATTATTCGATTATTCCATGATTTGAACTGAATGTGATCACTAGCTATCATTTCTCCCAAGGTCTCTTCTTGATTATCCCAAGGAAAATGGAATTACAGTGTTTATCCATTTTTCTTAGCTTGAGACCCCCAATGAAAATACTCCACTACTGTTATATTTTTATTATATAGATAATATTTTAAACACAACTTAATGTGTATTTTACCCCTATTTCTGATATTACCATTGGTTTTGTTACAAAATCCAACTCCCTGGAAACTTTTCTAGGAAAAAACATTGAAATTGAAGTAAAAAAAGCAGCTAGGAGCTGTTATTCCAGCTGTGCCACCTTCCCTAGGGGTGAGTATGGGAAAACTGCTGGATTTAGGGGTGACAAAAAGCCTTGAGCTCACAAGAAAAAAAGAGGGACTGAGAGAAATGGGGAGCACAGGGTGGTTTGGTGAGAGTTAATCAAGAAAGTAGGGAAAACAGGATTTAAGGATGAAAAGGGAAAGAAAACACAATTGGATTTGTAGGAAGCTTTTATTTGTTCCACATATAGAAAGTGAGTTCTTTATCGGTTTTATTCCTCTCCCAGTGCCCACCCAGTGGGGATAGTGGTGATGCTGCTCTGGCCATCCCATTGCCATCAGCTGTCCCAGAGCACCCAGCAGGAGCTGCAGGTGCTCCCAAGGGGGCTCTGGGCTCTCTGGGATAACGGGATGCTGAGGAAAATCAGATTTAAACAAAAGGTTGTGGCTGCTCCATCCCTGGCAGTGCCCAAGGCCAGGCTGGAGGGGCTTGGAGAACCCTGGGATGGTGGAAGGTGTCCCTGCTATGGCACGGATGGGATGGACTTTAAGGTCCTTCCACCCCAAACCATTCTGGAATTCTCTGAACTGGGAAAAGGATCCCTGTTTGTCCTGATTTTGTGCCATGATCTCCCAAGGCAAAACATCTGTTGGTTTTCCAGCCTTCCTCAAACTCTTGGAGAGCTCAGGGAAGTGTTCAGCCATATTTGCGACCCCCTGATTTTCCAGAATCCTTCTAAAATTGTAAGGAAAGTGTAAACTTGGTGCTTCAGTTAAACCCAAACCTTTTTAGACCCACAATTAGGCCTGGAGCCAAGACTTGCATGGTTCCATTTCCTCTCAAATTCACAGTTTGGACTTGATTGGAGAAGGCTTTGAATAGACCTTAATTCTTCACATCCCAAAAAGCAGCAACACTGAAAGCGTTCTCCCAAAACATTCCAGCCTTCTTTACAGAATGCACCAAAATAAATACAGAGAGGCCAAATGCCTTGGTTTGAAAAGCCAGGTATCTGCTAAGGAAGACAGGAGCCTCCCTTGAAATGGAAAATGCAAACCCCCTTCCTCTGAATTACTATAAATTTGAAATTAAGTGGCTCTCAGGCAAAGATATGGGAATAGGAATAACAGTTCTTTACTAGGAAAATTAAAAATACAAATGCAACAGTACAAATAAAACAAACCATTGAATACAACCTGCCCCCCCTGTGTGTCAGGGCGGTGTCCCAGCCCCATCCCATGGGGGCTCAGCCCTCCTGCAGTGCCAGCTGTGGCTCTGCTGCAGCAGGGATCCTGTAGAAAGGTGTAGCCTTCCTCTGAAGATCCAGTGGAAAAGGCAGCTGTTCCTCTGGAATCCAGTGGAAAGGCTGTGTATGGTGTCCCAGAATCTCAGATTGGATCCAGGTAGGAATGCTTGGCTCCTCCCCTGGGCGCAGCATCTCCCCATGGGATGCTGGAATGGGATCAGCCCTGCAGGGACACTCAGTGGCCATGGACAGCAGAGATCTCCTGGAGGGAGGGTTGGTGTGGGAGAGAGAAAGAAACAACTGCCCATGGACAGCAGAGAACTGCCCAGCTCTGACAGATGGGAATTGAATACACAGCCCCATTTCTAATCTAAGGCACCAAAGCATTCCAGTTTTCTTCAGAGGTAGTTTTGAAGTTCAGCTCTTCTCACCTACAAGGCTGGTTATACAAAAAATTTAAGAAATATAATCCTGCTGTTTAATTAGCTGAAATTATTGTGGGAAGTTAATGAGACTGACCATAAAGCTTCCAGGAGGTGTCTGATTTCTCCTTCTCGTATTGAAAGTGGGATTTTCCCAGTGCCAATGCCCAGCAGGCTCTGGAGGTGACACTTTCTGCTCTCCCAGCAAATTCCTCATTGCCCAGGAATGGCCCTGCTGGGGTTATGTAGGAGGTGACAGTGGCAGGGAAAGGTTCCCAAGGTTTTAAAGCAGCTAATTTGAATCCTGGCAATAATCCATTGAAGAGCTGTAATAAAGTCCCAGGAATAATCCATTAAAGAGGCTCTTTGTGGCCTGCAGGCTCTGGGTGTTGGGCAGCAGAGTCTGAAGGCTGATGCTCAGGATAGGGAATTAAAACATGAGTGGGAAAGGAAACCAAATGCTTGGGAAGCCTTCCACACAGCACTGAAGGTTTCCCAGAGGAAAATCCAAGGATATCAGGTTGGGTGAGCAGTTGGAAGTTCTCTGTGTGTGTTAAAGTGGCTCCTTCCTTTCCAGACTAACCTTTCTTTTCAGCGTGTTTTGCCCTTCCAGCTTGTCTTGTTTCCCTGTGGAAAAGCTGATTCTTCCCTGTTTCCCTGTGGAAAAGCTGATTCTTCCCTGTTTGCCTGTGGAAAAACTGATTCTTCCCTGTTTGCCTGTGGAAAAGCTGATTCCTGTTGGATTTTGCTGTCATAACCTCTGGTGTTTCCTTTCCAGTTGCCGCATTCATTATAAGGATATGTACAATTTGTTACGTGTAATTGCTCCACCCCTGGGCTTAGGAAAGAAGTGCCCTCATAGGGTGGCCTACAAGGTTTGGAATTTCAGAGATCCCTCCAGCATCTCTAGTCCTGGTTCTGTTTCTTTTTCTCCCCTCTTCCCTCCCCCGAGTGCAAATGCAACCAGTAGAGAACAGAAAGTGTAAAGTAACTAATCCCCTGCCTGAAAAAAGGAATGATTGACTGACTGCCTCCTTTCTCCTCCATGCATCCCTTCCCTGTCTCCTCCCACACCCCAGCTGGATGGGGACAGGCAGTTTTATGGGACAGGGAACCCTCCAGCTTCCATCCTGCCAGCTCCAGCTGGGAAGTCCTGGGGAAAATCATCCCAGCACTTCAATATATTCCAGAGAGAAATGGCATCCCACGGTTTCCAGGGAGCAGCAACTTTGGTTTGGCTTTGTAGTGGTTTTTGATCAATTGTTGAGTGATCAGTTTGCCCTTTCCTGAGCTGGAAAACCATTGGATCTAGGCAGAGATAAGGGATGAGGGAAGAGTTTTCCATGGTGCCACAGCCAGAGATGGCCTGGGGGTCAAATGATGTCTCTAAGCTGTGGAGGACACCCAGGGAAAGCTCCTGCTCATGGCGCAGTGGGAGTTCACTGTGCTTGGGAGGCCAAGTGGAGGATTTGGGACAGATCTTGCTGAGAAATCAGCATGGGATGGATATCAGTGGGGACTCAGTGCAGGCAGGGAATTTCTTGGAAAATAGAAGATGAAAGAGAAGGCTGGAAGCAGCCAGCCCAGAGCTTCCTCTTATTCTCCACTCCAGCCCAGGTGTTTCCAACACCTGAGTGAGGATTAAGAGCTCAGAAGCTCTGCAGAGGAAGAGGAGACCCCACACCCCAACCCAGGAGCAGGAAGGAGCCAGGGGAGGACATTGGCTCCAGTTTTCATTTTGTGTCTCTCAGCAGCCTCCAAATCAGCTCTGGGCTGGGAGAGCTGGGTGGGATTTTATCTGCACAGTTACCAGGGACAGGAATAGATGTTTTGGGCTGGATGAGTTCTCTCCTCCTCCTCCTCCATCAAAGCTTTACATAGGAACTGAGATGTGTGTCAGGGCACTGGGCTGCTGGGAAGGTTCCTGCTCAGAAAGAGGGGTTTAAATGGGTGCTCAGGTTTTCTTTGTTGGTATAGAGATGAGGACATTATCCTGCTTTACCAGGGATGAAACTCTAATTAATAACATCCCTGGGTCTCCTCAGATGCCAGGCAGCAGAGATTTGCACATTGTATAAGCAGTTGGGAAAACAAAAGGAGATTGGCACAGTTCCGCTCCCAACAGGCACAAAAAAGGTGAAGCAGGAATTTCTTGCTGTTTTGCACCCCTTGTTTTTCAGGCCAGGATTTATCCATCAAGCACTGAAGGGAGATGCTCTGAGCAATGGGCTGCTCTGATGGACTTTTCCCAAAGGTCTGCAATTCCCAGTTGAAGTTGGCTTGGTGAAAAACAAGCCCCACCAAAAGTGAGGGAGGAGCAGGTTCTCCTCCCACCTCCTGCCAGGGCTGGGCTCTGCTTTTGCTGGAGCAGGAATTTGCAGAATCCCAGCCTCAGCTGGGAATGGGAGCAGTCCCAGTGCATCCCTCAACAATTCCCCCACGTTTGGCTCCTCCCTTGTCCCATCACCCAAACCCAAAGTGCTGCTTCCTGGCAGGAAAGCTGGGCTGTGTTCCCCCAGCCCTGTCCCATAACTCTGCCCCCAGCTCTCCCTGGCATGGTGACCTGGCTGCTTTGGGGGGTGATGGGGGAGCCTTCATCCCCAGCCCACCAACAGCCAGCCAAACCCAGCCCTGCCACCCCTTCTCCCCCGGGGGACATCAAGCATTCCCTAGGGGCATCAAGGATTCCTCAGGGGCATCAAGGATTCCCCAGGGGCATCAATCATCCCCAGGGGACATCAATCATTCCCAGGGCCACCCCTGCAGGAGGAGGAGACGTTGGGCGCTGAAACAGCAATGGAAGCGGAGCCTCCTTTCTCCTGCCCCACCTCTTGAGTTTGGTTTTATTTCCCGGAGAAATCTGATTAACCAGATCTCTGTTTTCTTGTCTGCTTCCCCTTCTCTCTCTCTCCCTTTTCATTTGCTCCATTGTGTTGCCTTTTCCCCCACCCCTTCCCCGTTTTCCCCCCGCCTCAATCCGATGGGATTTCTGTGTCCTGGTGCTTTTGCCTCCATCCCTGTGGTGCCAGCGGGCGCATCAGTTACACAGACATGTATGAGATGCTGAGACACATGTCCCCACCTCTAGGCCTTGGGAAGAAATGCCCAGCTCGTGTTGCCTATAAGGTAGAAAACCTCCCCAGGAACTCCTGCCCAACCACCAGCTTTCTGTGCTGTGGCTCAAGTGGGGTTTCTGTGGCATTGGTGTTGTTCTTCTGGACTTTTCTGGTGCTTTCTCTGCTTTCCAATCAAGATTTTGGATCTTCTGATTTTTTTTTCTTTTTAATTTTTATATATTTATATATATATATAAAATTTTTTGGGGGGTAACATTTTTCCTGGTCTTTTAAACTGGCACATCAGTTTGTCTTTCTAAGTATGTCTCTGCTCTTTCTGTCAGTGTTTCTCTCTCTTTTCTCTCATTCTCCTCCCATTTAGGTTAATTTGGGGAGGGACAATGCTAATGAGGAAATTACCCCCCATTAGATCCCCATTTTTCTTCCTAGGGCTCTTTGTCTCACTAATCCTCCAGTAGAATGTTGTTTTTGTCTCCTCTTAATTAGACTGGAGTAATTAGAGTAGGCAGTACTGTAGGAGTGAGCAAGCAATTAAACACAGACAACACCAGAAGGGCTCCTTAAACGCCCTCGTGGAAAAAATGACTTTAACAGAAAACATTTAGGACAGGGAGGTGGAGAAATCACTCCAGCTTATTGCTGATTTGGCAAAACTTTTTAATTGAGCCACCAGAATGAATTCTATCCCAAAGGCTGCTGCCTGGCTGGAAATTCAGATGGAAATGGAGCAGTAAAGGCCAGGCTGGCCTCCCAACAACTCTCAGGGTGCTTGGAGACTTCCATTTCCAGGGGGATTCCTTGGAAGTTTCACCACTGAACCTCATAGTTTAGAGGGAGAGGTTGCTCAGAGCCATTTATCACTGGTGTGGTTGAGGATCCACCAAACCCAGCAGGATTTTCTGGGTGCTGGTGGCACTCCAGCCACCCCCAAACCCCAAAACTCAACCCAAAGGATCCACACCCCAACAGCCCCTCCTGTACTGAGGGATTTTTCACTGAGACCAAATAAACCCAAGATTTTTGTGAAGAGGCTCAAGCCAACCCTGGGGCTGATTTATTCAGGCAAGAAGAAATTCAGATAAATCTTCCTACAAGATCCTTCCAGGATTTAAAATAAAATGAAAATGAAACATAACCTTAAATCTCTCCAGTGAGGTGGCTTTGCTGTATTTGATTTGGTTTTGGCCACCATAACTGAGCTTGAGGAACCCAACTAGATCCAAATTCCAGGTCTCAGCTATTTTAGACACTAATTATTCCCAGAAATCCAAGGATTTGCCACGTGTGAGTTTCCATTGGTTTAGGAGAGCTGTGTCCTGCTGAAAGGAGGTGTTTGCAGGTGGGCAACCAGATCTGCTCTGGGGCTGTACCACAAAGGATAAAACTAGTTTTTTTCCCCTAAATATTGTAGAATTCAAAAAGGAAGAAAACAAAAGGGGATAAGGAGATCATGTGTTAAAACTGGCATTTAAAGTAAGATTTGGGCTGGTTTTCATAGCAGACTTTGTGCCCAGAGGCATTTCTTCAGCCCGAGAATTTCCTGATATCTCCTTTAATTTGTCTGTCCGTACAGAACAAACCCACAGAACCAGGGTAAATAGGAATGGCTTCTTTTTATAACCCAGACTCCTGATTTTTTAAAGACATCATTAATTTTTCCCCATTTCAGAAGAAACCTCTGGATTGTGTCTGGAAGAAACCTCTGGATTGTGTCTGTGTGTCACAAGCACAGGCAGAGATGGGTTCAAACAGCTCCAGTCTGGGTGAACTTTGGATTTCTCTGAGTTTGGAGATGATCACATTCATTTCCCCCTTATCAAAGAGCCCTGAACTACAAAATACTGATTTAAGACAAGATCAGGATTTCCCCCATGGATTAAAGCTGCACTTGGGGCTGATCTCTCACCCAGTTATTGCTGATAAAATTAACCCCTCATGAGCCAGGACTGGTTTTTGCTCCTTCCCTCCTCCATTTCTCCATGAGCACGTCCATGGGTTGGTGCTGGGCACCTTCCCCCATGGCTGTGGTGGGCTGTGGCACCTCCTGCCCTGCTCCTGCCAGGTGTCCCCCGTGGTGTCACTCATGTGACATCTGCTCCCAAGTGGATGAGAGACTCAGGAGGGCTCTGAAATCCCCCTGGGCACCGACCCCTCCCAGAGCCTGCAGAGGGGCATCACCCCCTGCTCCTGCAGGTGTGGCTCAGTCAGCGCCAACAGCAGCCAGGGCTTTGTCTCTGCCCTGTTTTCATCCTCTCCCTCTGGTTTTTAAAGCCCTGACTGTTCTGTCCAGCAAAAGCTCTTTTGCCCCACATATCCCCCCTTTTTCTTTCCATGTCTACTTTCCCCAGTCCTTGTCAGAGGTTTTGTGTGTTCTCCCCCTGTCTTTGTTGCCTTCTCAGCACGTCCACACTGATTTTTGTTCGGATTTCCCCCTCTTTGCAGCCTCTTTGGCTGCTGTCCTTCCTTTCTGCTGTTTTCTGGTTCCCCTTTCTCAACTGTTCTCCTTGGTCAGCCTGACCAGCCTCTGCAGTTCCGTATGGCTTTGCTGCTTGCCCGAGGTGCACCAGGGAGCTCTATCCTGCACGGGGCTGGGGGAGGAGGCTGGAAATCCCAAATTCCTGTGCTCGCTTCTGGGCCACCCACAGTGAGAAGGGCATGGAGGGGCTGGAAGGGTCTGGAGCCCCAGGAGAGGCTGAGGGAGCTGGGCAGGGGCTCAGCCTGGAGCAAAGGAGGCTCAGGGGGCCCTTGTGGCTCTGCACAGCTCCTGACAGGAGGGGACAGCCGGGGGTCGGGCTGTG